TTCTTGGACTTCACAAAAACCTTTGATGAAGTCCCCTACCAAAATCTCTTGGGTAAACAGTAAGGACAAATGCTAATGGGGAGTAAAGGTAAAGGTAAAGGGACCCCTGACTGTTAGGTCCAGTCGTGGCCGACTCTGGGGTTGCGACGCTCATCCCGCTTTATTGGCCGAGGGAGCCAGCGTACAGCTTCCGGGTCATGTGGCCAGCACAACCAAGCTGCTTCTGGCAAACCAGAGCAGCGCACAGAAATGCCGTTTACCTTCCCGCTGGAGTGGTACCTATTTATCTACTTGTACTTTGAGGTGCTTTTGAACTGCTAGGTTGGCAGGAGCAGGGACCGAGCAACGGGAGCTCACCCTGTTGTGGGGATTCGAAATGCCGACTTTCTGATCGGCAAGCCCTAGGCTCTGTGGTTTAACCCACAGCGCCACCCGCGTCTGGTTAAAGAACAGGAAGCAATGGAGAAAAATAAATGGTCATTTCTCACAATGGACAAAAGTAAGCAACAGGTTTTTCCAAGGATCTGTAGTGGAACCAATGCTATTTAGGGTGTCTGGAACACTAATGCTTTACTGTATGAGCTATCAAGCCGGTGGTTGAACCATGTTCCTCAAAGGGATCACCTAGGCCGCATTCAGTCAGCTGAGCCAAAGAACCAATCCTGGTTCATGAAAACAGATAAAAAAATAACTTAAGAGCCATCCTTCACACTTAGTAGCTTGCTTTGCTGTTGCTTCCTTTACTCACACTACTTGCCTGTCTCAGCTACACAACTTGTTCCTGGCCCTTCTGATCTTCTGTTTTTGGAACTTGTTTTTGGAACTTGTTTTTGGAACTTTCCTTGCCTGCTTTGCATATTGCAACTCACTTTTGTCTCCATTAGCATAATAGATGACTTCAGCCAGCCAGCCAAGTGTCCCCTAAAACAGTCCTAAATGATCTGGAGTCAGGGGTGAGCAATGGGGTGGCAAAGTTTACAGATGACACCACACCAAAATATTCAGGATGGCAAAAGTTCAAGCACAGAACTCCAAAAGGATTTCTCTTAGCTGCATAAATGGGACAGCAATATGCCAATTGGGAATTAATATAAACAAGTATAAAATTACTGAGGCAGTTAAAAGAAAAAAACACTTTTGTAGATGATACTAGGCAAGAAGAACAAATGAATGCAAACCCATGTGTTCACTCTGTGGGAAGGACAATGACAAGTGCTGTCCTGTTGATTGTGGGTCAAGAAACTGCCTGCAGCTGCTTAATGGAGACAGACCTGATTATTTCAAATGTATCCATTATCTCTCAGCAGCGTGACTGAGAGGAGAGTAATGTGATTAAGAGAGAGAGGCCAAAAAACTAGATCCTTCATTTTAAGGGACAGGGTGTGGTATGAGAAGTGTGGAAAGAAAGTAAAATGATGTCAAATGTTGACTTTAGATATATATGTGCTACATGTTGTATTCTCTGTCTTATTTTACATTGTTTTGTTAAGGCATTATTGTGCATGCTGATCTATTACAGAACAGTCACCATTGTGAATAAAGGGAAGCAGATCGAGTAGGGCTTTTAAAATGACTTAAAACAAAGAAATCTCTGAATAGAACTGCTTTTCATTTGAGGCAAAAGAAGGGATTATGCATCATGGGGGGGTGAGTTTTTCTTTATCTAGCTAGTAAAGTCTGTTTGGCCTGCTTTGGAAAGATGAGGGGCAGCTGCAGACTGCTTCTGGTAGTTAAGCAAACCATAAAAGAAGGGGGATTGTGAAATAGGTACATAACAGATGTTTGTGATTGTGAGATGTTTGCTGGCAGGATGTTATGTCTAGCCGGGTGTGGACAGTTCACTACTTTCTCAACACAGGGTATAAGAAGAAAAGGTATCAGTCTACAACCATGGGGGTATAAATTGTAAAATAAGTGACAAGAAATGTTTTATCTATGAAACTGGAGGCCATTATACATTTCTTTTGAAAGATGATAAGTTAATATATTCTTCTCAAGACTCACTTCTCAACAATTTACCAAACTTTGGTTAAACATTATGCTTTTTCCAGCTGTTTGAGGCACTTTCTGAAACGATTTCAGAAAACAGTCAAAAATGGCGGGAAAACCAATGGAGCAATTTTCTGAAACTAATTTCCCCCCTGAAAGAATGCTAAAGAACTCTTTAAGGAGCAGCAACCTCAAAAAGTAGGTTGGTTTGGAATTCCAGCATAGCCAAGTGCATTTGTGCAGTGTGCATAGAATTCCAGTGGGAAGTGGAATTTTGATATATTTTTGTACAGAACAGCCACTGGAGACTAACAGTGACTGCTGTAACGCATAAAGCTGTGAAAGTGTGAATCAAGCAGCAATTGATTTCAACAGCAATCATGTCTACATGGAGGGAGAGAGAAATCTTGCTGACAGTTGACTGAGGTTTCGGAGGTCAGTTCACTTTTCATCTTTCTCTAGAGAAAAAGCAGTTGACCTACATTTTTAGATCACCCCCTCTTTCGGCTTCTTCAGTGGTACACATGGCGTCTGTGTATTGTATCAAGATTTGTCAAGCCCCTTCTTTATGGTGTCTTACGTGTGCCCCACCAATTGTAAAAATATCCAGCCTTTTTAATAGGCCAAAAAGGCGCAAATTAAGAGATAACTGCTGATCTGTGTTTGCAATGGTACAGTTTCCTTAGTGGGATTATGTGAGGCAATGCAAGTAGACACTTAACAGATGGTGTCATTTTGGGAGATATCACTCTATTTGACCTTACAAAAAATTGTACTTCTATAATACCATAATATTTGATTTTAATGCTTCGACTGTCTTTGTTTTTACGCCAATAGTGTTAGGAACAAGGGAAGCTGCCTTATACTACTGAGTCAGACCATAGGAACAAAGGGAAGCTGAGTCAGTCCATTGGACTATGAAGCTCAGTATTGTATACACACTGCCTGCCAGTAGCTCTCCCAGGTTTTGCTTTGGAGTCCCCTCCAGCCCTACTGGAGATGCCGGGGACCGAACTTGGAGCTTTCCCATGGATTACTAAGCTATGGTTCTTACCCAAAGTACATTAGGTAAAGTACATTGTAGAAGGAGTCTTCTTTTGTACAAGACCAACTGTTTTAAATATATTTTTGAAGATATCTTAGCCTAAATAGATCCTAAATAGCCTAAATAGATCAATGTAAGGTTTGCTTCCATGGGATAGTATCTTTACCACCAGCCAGCCCCATATTCTTTCTGCCTTCTCCCTCCATTGAGAGCCAGTGTGGTGTAGTGGTTAAGAGCGATAGACTCGTAATCTGGGGAACCGGGTTCGCGTCTCCGCTCCTCCACATGCAGCCGCTGGGTGACCTTGGGCCAGTCACACTTCTTTGAAGTCTCTCAGCCCCACTCGCCTTACAGAGTGTTTGTTGTGGGGGAGGAAGGGAAAGGAGAATGTTAGCCGCTTTGAGACTCCTTCGGGTAGTGATAAAGCGGGATATCAAATCCAAACTCTTCATCTTCTTCTCCCTCCAAAGCAGGAATGGGGAATCTGTGGCCCTCTATATGTTTTTGGATTAAAATCCCCTTTTCTCTGCCCACTGGCCATGCTCGCTGAGGCTAATGGGAGTTGAAGCCTAGCAACATATGGTGCCTGGAAGCTGGTCTTCCATTGCCAGGGACTAGAGAAGATTGTATGGCTGTGTCACACATTCCTTTATGTTTGCACCTTTTTGCAAGCCACTTTGAGACCCATCCTTGATTGAAAAGTGGGACATAACTACAATAAATAATGGATATTAATATAAATAAAGCCATTTCAGAACCTGTACTTACATATACATAAAGAACGGCAACCCCATTTTTGTTTTTGTTGCTTGCAGAAATCTCTCTTCCACTGTCCATGTTCAGTAAATGCTCTGACTCTTTCAGCTGTCTTCTTCTCATGGTTGGTAGATGGAACAGCCACACTTTGTTACTCACCTTAGTTGTTTTCCTGGTGGGCCAAGCACACACAGTGTAGGGGACTAGTGGGTTCTCCACATAGCTCATAATGGGGGGAGAGTCTGCAACTAACAATTAAGATCATAAACAAAAGTGAGGGGAGATGGTCCTAACAGGTCAATGTTTTTCTGTTTCCCTTCATCCCTCATTGGTGCTGATGTGATAAATTAAGCAGAACAGTATTACCATGAGGTGGGAGAAAACCAGTAGGCGGTGGCAATCAAGCCAAATTAATATGGTAAACATTCTGGGGCATAATTGTGTCAGTTATCTGAATAAGGATATATTGTGGTGTTGCCTCAGATTTGTGTCTTTCGACTGTGATACCAGAGTCAAGGCTTCATATAGGTTTCTTTGTGTATGCTATACCGAGCTTGTGATTTTCCACTGAGCTGTGGCTGCAAATTGGACACATTTAGCTTTGATTTTTGTGGCCCTGCTTCCTAGGTACCATGTGTGCAGCAAAATGGGCAGGGCAGGGCAGGGAAGAAGATTGTGGCATAGGCTGAGCTAGTGGGAGACTACAATGGTGCTTGTATGAACCTGCATTTTGTCTGCTGCTGCCCCAAGACCGTGATTAGGAAGTATCTAGTAGATTCCATGGCTAATGAGCATGCTCATTAAATATTTTGTGTACTTCAAGTTTCCCTGAGCCTGCTGCTACCACTCTCTTGTGTGGGGCTACTGTCATTTTGGCTATATATTAGATAGTACTTACCTCTGAATCTTGGAAATAAAGGGAATGCATATTAACAGGGTAGAACCAAGACGGTTTTCCACTGAAGGACGGGTCGTTGTCCCATCCCCATTCCAAGCACAGAAGACAATCGGACTAGCAGCTGAATCCTACTTCAACACTGGTGATCCTCCGCTGAGGGCATCTGCTTTGCTTAGGGCTCACAGCGTAGACCAACTTAAGCAAACAGCTAGGAGGAACAGCACTCCAGCATTCCGCACTTGAGGCAGCTGCCTCTCTCTGCCCAGCGACAGGGCCAGCTCATAATAAGAATAATTATGCTGCTGAGAAAGGAGCACGAAGAATATACAGTCCTTTTATTACAATTAGAAATGTGGTAACAGAAATATGGTTTCCTGAACTGTGGTAATGGAAATGTAGGCTTTCAAAGGGCTGAGGAAAGGAGGAGGGGGGAATGAAAAATCAAATATTTCACTCTACTCATGGCTCTAGTAAACCACTGCAATGTGAAGTGGTAAAATCAGGAGTATAAATGGCTCTCTAGAGAAATCAAATTGTTAGCACATTGCACGTCCTGTCATATTGACACTGAAGTTGACTCCACTGTCTCGGAACCAGAAAAGGTTATTTATGTCACTATATAAGGATATTTATATTCCTACAGTGTTATGCGTAGGCTGTTTAGAATACAATTTTTAAAAACTTTTGTTCCTATTAAAAATTACACATTACTATTTTGCTTGAAATCATGAACATATACATATGTATACAAACAGACAGAAGCCATGAAAATAAGCACTCATAAAAATACATAGACATTTACACAGGATAGTTAAATATATATATATACATACATACATATTACAATATTACACTCTATCTGTAAAGCTTTTCGGAATTGTTTAGCAGATTTAACTGTAGGCACTTTGGCCTAAACCCAACACAAAGTTAGGCCAGCCATTGATTTGCATCTGACTTAGTAAATTATGCACAGAATTGTGTCTTCCACTTGAAATACAGCTGAATGTTCAGATTCACATGGCTATTTTCCTCAGCTAGGCATCACAGGTGCTATGAATCTCCTGGCAGTTTTCCTGTAGCATGCATATTGTATACTACACTGCTAGATGTAATACATTTTGATGGCTAATAAAATGCTACCTGTATGGCAATAGCAGCCAAAAAGAACCCCTGCCGCATGGTAGAGGTTATGACAATGATGAGGATGTTATTATGCAGTTACACGGATTCAAATATCACTTTTTTGTTGTTATTGTATTTGTGAGTTGCCGGTTCCTTCAGGAGATGCTCAAGGCAACATACATCAATTCAAAGTGGGAAACTGATAAGATATCAAAATTTAACACCTTTAAAATGCTACATTGCCAACAGCAGTGGTCTGGCTGATTTATAATTGTTGCAAATGAATTCCGAACAATGGAATATGCCTGAAGTGACCAACCCCCCCCCCCCGCCAACTCATGTGCAGAAGAGGTAATAACAGTTGGGACTGATTTCAGGATTTCCCTGTGCAATTCTGAACATATTGGCTGCAACCTTCATTACTTATTTGTATATCCCACTAAAGCTAATAGGACTCACATATCAGACAATAAGATCTGGAGCCATTGTGAGCTGGATATGTACTGCAAAACCGAGGGGAGCAGAATGGTTTGTAGCAAAACTGAAATACTGCATGGTCTAAAGCAATGTGGAGATAGCATTTTTTTTTCTATCACTGTTGTACTCAAAAGGGGATTTTGATGCACAAACAACAGGAGCAAAGAAGGATATAGAAAATGCTTTTGCAATGGACTTACTTTCAGGAGTTCCTTGTATTTGTTAGGGATTTTTTCTTGTTTTATTTTTATTAAGAAGCCTTGTGCAAATTTCAATCTAGTCTAAATCAACCCCACCATCACTCACCCTGGTTTTCCACCACGAGGGATTTGGCCACAAAAACAATATTTTGCCAAGGCATGCTTGGATGCATGTTCCCCATTCATGTTACAATACTCATATGAGCTGGGCTGAACTGGTGGATTAGGGTGCAACTAAATGAAATTGGGGGGGGGGGGCTGCTATCAGGGCCTCCAGATTTTTAAGTTCAGAGCAGGCATAGGCAGCACCAAACTAGAATAGGAGCACAGTCTTGGAGAAGGGAGGTTTACCTTTCCTGCCTGAGCTGTTTTCCCTATCTAAATAGACGCTCCAATGCTGCTCTTTGACCCATGGGGGGAAATGTACAGGAACCCCAGAGCAGCCTGAGTAGCCTTAAGCAGTTAATTTAAATAGGAAAAACAGTGTAGGGAAAGTGCATGTGTATATAGTTATTTAAACTTTAATTCCCTGTCTTAAAAAAAATAATTACAAGGCAACTTCAAAATACAACCATGAAAGCAGAAAAAAGATTAAGATAAAAAGCAGTTTCAAACAAGTAAGCAGGGCAGCATGCAAAAGTTAATAACTCCTGAATAAATGTTTTCATAATGCTATTCACAGAATTAAAATGTTTTCAAATGTTTACTACACAGTCCTATGCATACCTACTCAGAGGTGTCCCACGGAGACTTACTCTTAACACAAATGTGCATAGGATTGCAACCTTAAAAGCACATATTGGTCCTGCCGCAAGAAAAGCCCCTTCTCTGGCACTAGCAAAGCACATTTGATTTAATGAGAGTCTAGAGAGCACAGCCTCAGAAGACAATCTTATGGAACTCTTTAGGTGGGGTGGACAGAAAGCAGACTGAGGTGATTTGCAATAGTTCAGCAAAAGTCTCTCGCTTCCACTTGTTTCATGATAGAAATTAGAAGTACTATGGCATTCCCATTTTGATTTCCCCCATAACAGATTCTATCAGATTAGAGCAGGGCTTACCAAACATGGGTCTTCAGCTGTTTTTCAACTACAGTTCCCTCATCCCTGACCACTGGGTCCAACAGCAGCTGGAGACCCAAGTTTGGGAATGATTAGAGTATAAGGCTCATCGTCAAATAAGAAAAATGAAAACATGGCTAGCAAATGGGTCTTGAAATGTGATTTCACATTTTTGCTGATTGATATATACAAATATACCTGGTTCATAAGGAGTCTGCATATCTCTTTTATTTCAGTACCTTTTGGCCCTGAATCTGTATCCTAAACATCTAACAATGTACACAAAAGACAATTATCCCGTCAATGCGTCATTTCTTCTGGCTTACTGAGAGGGAATGCAAAAGGCATGGGGAGATTGCTGCAGTGTTGTGTGTGGCAGTGGGGCCAATCTGATGCCCCCATTGCCAGGCATTGTAATGCACCAAGCTCTTTTTGCCTCATTCCTCCCCTCTTGGTAACATCAGTGACCTGCTGTGTTGGAAAGCCAGGAGGACAATGGAAGCCCACCTGCCCTGCCTCACTGGCCCCTGCTATTAAAAAGGCTTCTGGCTAAACATGCTTTAAAATGTGGAATACACTTACTAAACTATCTCATGTCAAGAGAATGGGAACACAGGGCATCTATAGGTCCTACATTTTGTCAGTCTTTCAAAACAATTCCATCATGACTCACAGTGACTTACGAAATTCTTCAAAACGGCAGCATGCACAATACACTTACTGAGAATGTCCACCTGGAGTCTGCAGATAGTTTGCAGGACGCTGTGCAGATTCTTCTTGTTTTCACCAAAATATGAATTTCTTTGTAAGGGGGAGGGCAAAGCTTTCTTGCTACCATTTAGAAATCTGTACAGAGCTTCACTTGTGGACGCTTTGGTCATCTTTGGACTTAAGTGCTAGGGCACTGAGCCTTCAAATGAAATGTGCTTATTGAGTCCCAGATTGTTTTTCTGTTTATAAAGCTGCAGTACACCGTTTTTGCTTTCACCCATCGCAAAGTGCAGTCTCCACCAAACATCAGTTTAAGCTGTCTTTATGGATGCTCCGTTCTGTGTAATGATTGTTCAGTTCGTTGTTTTTCCACTGAATACTTGTTCCGTTCATAGGAACAGATGATACTTGACTCCCTGTCTGGTAGCACTTACAGCCAAAGCATGACTGGCAAGAGAAAGATTCCAAACCATGTTAATATTCCATTCCTTTATGAAGGATCATCCCCTGTCTTCAGTGGAGAGCAGAAGCTTCCAGGGCAGGGGCAGAATTAGATTTCTAAAATACTGGATTGTTTTTTCTTATGATACTAAATATAGGCATATTTCAGACAACATGCTAAACCATGGTTTGCACCAACCATAGTTTGGAACCCAAACCATGGCTTCAACTTCTAAATATACAGCATGCAAACCATGGTTTAGAGCAACCTTCCCCAACCTCATGCTCTGTAGATGTTTTAGACAAAAGCTCCACCAGCCCAAGCCAACAGGACCAGAAGTCAAGGATTACGATCAGGGTGTTGTAGTCAAAAACAACAGGTTAGAAAAGTCTAATTTAGTACTTCCATTTTATATCTTCTTAGAAGTCAATGTCAGAAGGTGACCCTTGTCTTAATGACATTGCATTCTCTGGAGGCAAAGCAGCAGCTGCAATCGCCATTTGCCCATTTAGACATTACACCAAATCACAGTTAGCACAAACCATGGTTTGCAAAACTACTTCAGAATATGGTGTCTGTTTCTGGTTTGCTAGTCAACCATAGACCATGGTATGTCAATACAAACATCACATCATATCATATCATAAGTAAGCTTCCTTAGTCATGGTTTGGTGCAATGTCTGAATTGAGTCACTCTGTAAGTACATCAGGGCCTGGATTCTACAGTCCCAATTTGGTCAAAGTATTGAATTCAATATTAGCTTTTCCTAAGTAAACTGTTCAAGACATTTCTGCATACCAGCTGGACCAATATTTATTGGTTTGCTATTAAAAGATCTCCAAATAAGCATACCAAAGAATTAATGCCATAAGCTGAATAGAGATTGGGCCACATTTAAGCTCACTGGTTTCAGTGAGCTTTAGTGCACCTAACTTTGTATCTTATCTGTTTCACCATATTCATATAGATTGCAATATAAAACATGCATGCTGTTATTTACTCATCCTTCCTATACTCCTATATCAATCCCTGTTGCTGTTCATCCTGGAGAGCTTTGTTCATAGCTGTCAACTTTTCCCTTATCTTGTGAGGAATCCTATTTGGAATAAGAGAATTTTCCTTAAAAAAAGGGAAAAATTGACAGCTATGGCTTTGTTATAGTGGGAAGATTTGAAAATATGGCCCTTGAGAACAGTTAACTACCAATCAAAGCACAAGGGATACTTTCACAAACAACATACACAAATGTGATGAGCATTTCAGCTAATTCTCTCTCCCACCAAATGAAACAGGTTCCTCAAGACTGAGGAGGCTGGCTTATTTGAACAGAAGTAAGTGGTTGGTGAAAAGAGGATTATCCTCTTTGTTATGAAATCTGACAGCAGAAGGAATCTGGCGGACAAGTCAAGCGGACTAAATTGCAGAAGAAATAGGCAAAGACTGAATTGATTACACTGGGCACAGTCTGGACATGATAGTGCAACATTCCTGGGGTCTCCTTCACTTTAGCTCTTTATGAAAAGCTCGGGAGTGGATTTTCTCTATGGGAAGCTGTATCTCACAAAGGAAAGGATGTGGGTGAATTTACAACCCTCCAGTGTAAAGTTGAGGTCAAAATCTGTAGTGTGGAAAGCTCAAGTTCTTAACTCCTGCTCATTTACTGAAGAGCCAAATGAGAGCCATGCTACAACTTTTTTTACCATAAATTTCTGCACCAGAAGTAATAATCTATGAAGTGACCACAGAATTCATAAAACCACAAAATTCTATTGCCCTGTGGAATAAATCCCTCAATACACTCCCCTCCCCAATCCAAATGCCTAAAAGCGAGGCACAGTATTCTAAAATTTGCCTTTCAGGAATAACATATAGGCAAGTTCAGGCAAACAATAACAAGTTCAGGCAAATGTTGCTGAATGTTGCATGAGTGGATCGTTTCATGCGTTATGACTAAAAGATTCTCATGGGTCTCCCATTGGTTATGTGACCAATCAGTGGGTGGGAAGAAATAATGCTACTCTTTCACATTTTCTCCCTTAGATACATATTTTGACAGCTTAATTTCCTTCCTTATAATACATCACAATCCTTACCTGGAAACAGTTTTTGAACTTCTTGCTGACAAAATAGAGTGCTATAGGGTTTATGCAGGAATTTATGGTCGCTAAATTCATGCCGATATAATCAAGTGTCAACAAAAAGCTAGGGTTAAAAAAGAAAGCAAAACATTACAACCTTTTTCATTCTGGGAGCATATTACATATAGCTTTGTGAAATCCCTTCTTGGGTACCTACCTAGCAAAAAATATGATCATACAGAATATGTGTCCTGTTTGAAATTAGACTGTGACACATGCATAAATTAGTATTAAGAAGTGTCTGTCAGCTGTGGAGAACTTGCACAGAGCTTGGTGCCAACATTTAAAACCTTTCAGCGCTAGGTAAAAGCATATTTCTTCTCCCAGGCATTTGGTGGACTATAATACAGTGGTACCTCGGGTTACATATGCTTCAGGTTACATACGCTTCAGGTTACAGACTCCGCTAACCCAGAAATAGTACCTCGGGTTAAGAACTTTGCTTCAGGATGAGAACAGAAATTGTGCTCTGGTGGCGCGGTGGCAGAAGGAGGCCACATTAGCTAAAGTGGTGCTTCAGGTTAAGAACAGTTTCAGGTTAAGAACGGACCTCCAGAACGAATTAAGTACTTAACCCGAGGTACCACTGTAAAGGTTGCTGTGTATTGGTGAAATGCAATGTGCTATGAAAGTTTTTTTGCAGTTTTTCTGGGCCTGTTACGGGGTACTTAATGTCTTATGTAATGTTGTTATGTTATGTTATGTTATGTTATGTTATGTTATGTTATGTTATGATCTTTTAAAAGTCACTTGGAGATGTTTTCGTAGCAAGTGACAAATAAGTCAGATAGATAAACAAACAAACAAACAAACAAACAAACACACACACAGGTCTTGTTGTACAAAACCAAGTAGAGGGATCATGCGCTAGTGGAGCCCACTCAGGCATGTCCCTGGTCCACAGCGCCATGCTCTTCAGCAGGTAACCCAACACCCTGGAGAGGCTTTTCAGGGCTACAAGAGGGGAAGAGAAGGGAAAGCTTGTGCAAGTTGCCTTTTGTGTACATAACCATTGGCTACAACCTTCATTAGATAAATAACCCTGTGCTAACCACAGTAAGGGGTTAGAAGAGAAAGATGGAGAGCATCGGCAACAGCAAGAGCTCAGAGTCGGGGTTGGGTTTTTAAAATATAAATCTGTACACCACTTAGAAATCCTGAATATCAAGCTGTATGTAAATAGGTGAAATAATTAAGAAATAAAACAGGGCCAGATAAAGTATGCTCTGGGATGTGAAAACCTGACCTAGCCTTTTAATCGCCATTATTGTAAGATAAAAAGAGGGTATTTTAAAATAAACTATTTGAACAGGACAAGTTCATGCAAGCATCTTGGTGACTGCAAAGGAACGCAGTGATCCCTTGGGTGTGCCTTTATTTTTCAGTGTCTGACTGCAAGTAGTTGAAGGCCAATTGCGATGTAATATTATTATGTGCTTTTATGTTTCCTTTCACGAAATGTGTGTCTGGAGCCACAATACTGTGCGTGTCTTCAAGCACTTCATAGATGGAGCGCTTTCCACATTTTCCCCTGGATATGATGAGCTTCAGGTTTGGCTACACACAGCGGCGTTTCGACATCCAAATGTGCCACATTACGAAACGCGATGTACACTGATAGCTCTATAAATAATACTAGGAATAATAAGAAATGCTTCTGTGTGACCTGGATAATGATCTGTGGAAAAGAGATGTCTGCTTTTTTACAGTCTGCACTAAATCCTGCTGACATAGCTAATCAGGGAGGAATCGATTCAGTTGTTTGACTAGAAGCAATAAAGAAGTAGAGACAAGTGGCCAAAGCAATATGGAGTCGAACCAATAATGCCCCACCAACCATCTTGCATGAAATGTAAAACAAGTAGCTTTCAAATATCCATTTCCACAGTTGCACATGCGCTGATGCCAATTGGCTTCTCAGGCTACTCTATTCACCTGCCCCCTCGGCACATTACATACAACCCAAATTTAAAACCATACCTGAGCAATTCACATCTTTTAGGGTCTTTTTCGGAATACAACATTTGCTTCAAGATCCGGCTCAAATGGAGAGGAAACCAGCAAAGGGCAAAGATGACAACTAGGCAGAAAACCGTCTTTGCGACTTCTCGTCTCTGGAGGACGAAAGGACATGTATGAATTTGCAGATGTGGGCCAAGCAAAGTGCAAAACTACTGGGAATAAAATGGAAGCTGTCCAAATATAAGAAAAGCTTGTGGCTATGAAGGCATGAAGCTAGTGACTGATGATATTGCAATGATGACTCAGGGGAAACAGCCATATGCATGGGGAGCTTTCACCCAGGGCCCTTCCACACTACAGATTACTGTGGACTTGGTGCAGCTCATGCATGTAGGATTTTCACAGCATCCACATGATGTCATCCTCATCCAAGCCTGGCTTAGTACCCAAGTTCATATCCCCATTCAAGTCATGAAACTCCCTGAGCAACATTGGGCCAGTGACTGTCTTTCAACTTAACCTGCCTTGCAGGGTTATTGTGATAAAACACATCTTTGAGCTCCTTTATGTAAAGGTGGGATATAAAGGTAACGATAAACAATAAAAGTAAAATGGGACCTCATGTTTTTCCTGCATCCCATATTATGCCCCCCCCCCCCCCCAATTCAGGATTTACCATTTCTCTGATAGTGATGGCAGCGGCGATTTATTGGATTTTCTGCAGAAATGATGCATCCAGTTTAAGTGGGAAAATAGTATGGGGCTGCATTTTGTTGAGGATGGAGTTGTGTGGACTCTGCACAAAACTTGCACTCTTGACCAAACTTGAGTCCACAATAAACTGTTTGGAAACACTCTCATTCTAATGGCCAGCTGCTGCAGCCTTCTCACCAACTCTTCTTATCGTGTACAGCTTCAGAATGGTCAGCAGTGGATTTCTGATGTACATCAATCTCAGGAGCCAGGTGAACATTAAAAGAAGTTCCAAACAGGATTTGCAAAACGTTCAATAACTACATTAATCATCCCCTATCACTGCTAGAAATGTATTGTTACTCAGACTTGGCTAAAGTAGAAATGATAATATGTTGAGAAGCAAAAATGTAGGAATGTATCTTTGGCACACTGTTAACTAGAGTTCAAGGAATCCAGAAAGTAGGATTTTAAGGTTAGAAAGTGAGCGAGCAAAGCTGTCACACTCGTTATAAAAAAGCAAGCAACCCTGTCTGGCCTCTGAAGCATTGCGTCTGCATCAGCTGCTTGCACTTGAGATTACCCTTATGTTCTGAGTTTGCCTGAATACCTTTGGGTCAAAACTCATCTTTCGCCATAGCTTCTATTTTGGGAATGCCTTTGATTACAGCTCGCTCTAAAAAGTTCGGAAAGATAACGCACGGAAAACAGACGTCAGAAAATGTTTCCTAGGCATCTCCCTCCCTTCCTTACCTGCTTCAGATGTTCACTGAGAGCTATTCTCAGGTTGCTCTTCCTCCTGTTCAGCATTTCACAGGTCATGAGGGTGTAGAAGAAGGCAGTGCACGCAAGCGGCATGCAAAAGTAGAAACCAAAGAGCCACCAGTCCTTTGCTTTGGCATAAAACTGCAGAGGAGAGAACCAAAACGGAACAACTTATTGCTCAATGCAATGCCTTCTTGCATTGACACCCGCCAAGGGCAACATTCAGAAATCAAGCAGTAGGAGAACGTAACATTTCATTACCATTCGACTGCCCTGTTTACACTCGCATGTACGTGGGTGCACACAAATGCAACTGCCAGTTGTGACAAGATAGTGTCTTCTACAGTACCTGAGGCAGCAGACAAGATTAGGTCCTCTAGAATAGGCCATGTGGCCCCAGAAAAAATAGCTAGAGGGGGGCTTAGGAAAGCTGCTTTTGCTCCCTAACATCTGTCCCCTGAAGTGGTCTGCCTAAGACTAGAGGCAGCCCTGTTTACTCAGGTCAAGGCACCTTCCAATCTGTTTTGGCTTGGGACTTGTGACCCTTTGTAGATGTGAAAGCATGTGCAGAAAGAAAGCAACTAGGCAAAACTGACCCAAATCTCAACTTTCAAATCCCAGGGATCCGTGACATGGTTACTAACATTTGTGCTAAAATCAAAGAGCAATAGAAGTCTTGCTAAATAGCTTGTCCCAGTGAAAACTCTGCTTTGTTACCTTTTAAGGCTTTTGCGAATGGCTTTGATTCCAAAAGGTCCAGGTTAAGAATGTCTTGTAAGTGTAATCGTGCTCTGCTATCAGTAGCAAGATTAACTGTCTTGCTCATGTACCAGGCAGAAAGAGGCCACTTAAGCATGCACTAGTCTGGAAAATGTGGAGCCCAGATTGCTGTTTCCAGTGACTTTCAATGTATGGTTTCTTTAACCCCCCTGGCCAGAATGTAACCCTTTACATGGTATGTTTACTATGTGACAAGAAGCAGCGGGTGGCTGGGACATCCCAGTACATTTCCCAATTAAAGTTAAAGGCTGCTGGAGATTTTGGGTGAGTATCTTTCACAAAACACTTCACAGTTTTGCTAATAACGATAAACATTTCTTTGCCATTTCTAGAGATAACACACATGCACAAACATAATCCTATCTCTTGATTATTGGTCACCGGAAGGTATGTGTATAAAGGGGAATCCTTGTTTTCTCACAATATTTTCCCATCGGTTGTTAATTCTTAGCAGATGTCATTTTCCCTGTTCCCACACTGAAATATGATGATGTTAATAGCTGAGGATTACATGTGGTTCTTTGCTACTGTTCAAAGGAGTCAGAAGTCTGCCGTTCTGTTTATGCATATTTCAACGGCAGAGCTAGCTTTGGAAGAGGAAGATTAAAGCTTTTACCACAAATTAATATATTCTTAATGAAGCAATATTTTTAGCCATTTTATAATTGCAGGCTTTGGCTATATGGAGAGGGGAGGAGAGAAAAAGAGGGACGGGGGGGGTAAGGGAAGGAGGGAGTTGCGCAGGAGAGCAATTTACTTCAGGCCCTTTAGCCTGGGGCCTGAATGTAAAACTTTCTCATTTCAAAGATCTTTCACAGATGATGCCACTGAATCAATGGCAATGCTGTGAGAAAGTGCTAGTTAGCTAACTGTTGGCAGCCATGGAACTGAAAGAAATGCTTCCCTTGAGATATTTCACGTTAAAGTAGGGCAAAGTTTAGACCAAAATGGATTCTTATCTGTTTGCTTCTTTCAGCTACTTAGATGGAATCAAAACAATAAAAATAGCAAATTAGAAACAATAACACCAAAAGATTGTCAGGTCAAATTTAGCCTCAGAGAAGAAGGGAGGGAATTGCCTCAGTTTAGACCTCTATTGTCCAGACAACTCCTTCCTTACAACTGTCCTCCTCCTTGTTGATTTCATGTTGTTTCATGGAACGCTGTCATAAGGTGCTTGAAGAAGTTGGACGTGATAAGCACCCTGCAGGGTCAGGATTAAATGTATTTCTGCACTACAAAGCAGGAAAGTGGTTACTGTGCTTTTGTGGATTCCTAAAGGTGTAACTACACCAGATCTTTTTATTACTCTTGAGAGGACTCTAGGAACTGGTCTGAGTTTGTTGGCTTGGTCACTATTTCTCTATGCAACAAAAAAACTTCAAACCTTCTGGCTATTTTGCATGTTTCAAGGCCTCTTCACACAACCACCGATAATACAGCAACCATGTATAAAACATCTGCCCACGCAATCATCTACAAGTGCCTTTTGTTGTTGTTGTTTAGTCGTGTCCGACTCTTCGTGACCCCATGGACTAGAGCATGCCAGGCATTCCTGTCTTCCACTGCCTCCCGCAGTTTGGTCAAACTCATGCTGGTAGCTTCGAGAACACTATCCAGCCATCTCGTCCTCTGTCGTCCCCTTCTCCTTGTGCCCTCAATCTTTCCCAACATTAGGGTCTTTTCCAGGGAGTCTTCTCTTCTCATGAGGTGGCCAAAATATTGGACCCTCAGCTTCAAGATCTGTCCTTCCAGTGAGCACTCAGGGCTGATTTCCTTAAGAATGAAAAGGTTTGATCTTCTTGCAGTCCATGGGACTCTCAAGATTCTCCTCCAGCACCATAATTCAGAAGCATCCATTCTTCAGCGATCAGCCTTCTTTATGGTTCCATACATCACTACTGGGAAAACCATAGCTTTAACTATACGGACCTTTGTGGCAAGTGCCTAGTACATGTGATATTCAATGTAAGCTTGCAAGCTGAGAAGAAGTCAGGGACTCTAGAGAGGTGTTGCCAGTCAAAGTGGACAATACTGAGCTAGATGGACCAGTGGCCTAACTGGATATAAGGCGGCTTCTTCCTGTGTTCCAGTGAATAAAAGAAAAGCATGCTGAATCAGGCCAGTGGCTTGGCTAGTCCAGGATCGTGTTATCACAGTGGCCAACCAGATGCCTGTGAGAAGCCAGCAAGCAGGACCTGAGGGCAACAGCAATCTCTTCACATGGGCTTCCCAGAAACTGGTATTCAGAGGCTTACTGCATCCAACAATGGAAGTAGAACACAGACATTTTGTCTAGTAGCCATCAATAGCCCCACCCTCCATATTTTTATGCTGTTGGATCCTTTCCCACTTGACTTCATATGAACACATGAAAATGCTTTACAATAAATCAGGCAATTGGTCTTTCCAAACCACAACTGCTTACATTTACTTTCCTAGCCCTCTAAACAGGAGAAGCCAGCAGGGGATTGGACCCGGGATCTTCGTCATCATACAAAGCATGAAAATTCATAGGAAGAAGGAATTTTCCTTGGTTCTAACAAAACAGTACACCTCATGTAGATACAACAAATCTATCTTCTCCCACTAACGCTAAATTGCTGTGCTACAGGGGGGGAAAGCAATGCATGAAAGAATACCAAAGGCTGCATCCAACCAATTTAGAATTTTAAAGGAGTAACACTTCGGGCATTTTAAAGCTGTAAAAGCTAAACTAAGATGTCTGTAAATGATTAATTATGGCAATTAAGCTTACACGGATCTTCCATCAAGTTTTGTACTTTGATGTAAGTGACACAGGCATTCTTTTGTTTGCCGTACGAGTACACATGGAACTAGTCTTCTACAGGAAACGTGCTCTTTCACATGTTCCCTAAAGCACTTGGCCTTTTGGGATTTACATCCTAGCACAAATATTTGAAAGAAGGGCTATCAAAAACAATAATAGCTAAGAGGTTTCTAAGACCACTGAAAATGAGATAACCATAAAGTTCTACTAAAGTCAGCTGACATGATTTATTGTAACATTTGCTACTAGACTTAAGGAGAGGCTTTCCCTTTTAATCCTCTATTCATTTATTTGGAGCTTATGTGACTATGTCTTCTCTCTGCTGTACATTATCTTATTCAGCTACACAAAAATTAACATTCTGGACTTGGATGTCACCAAAATATAAGGGGGAGGAACCCTGTTGCAATTGAAAGTTTGCTTTTATAATGTTTTGGGAAGGCAGAATGGCAGACTATTTTTCTTAGGAAGAAATGGGGTGGGGTGGGATTTCCTTATGTATTTAATAAAAACAGATTATAAGCAGTTGCACATGTCTTTTGCACAGTGTTTTATTCGGCTAAACAATAGCAGCCTCTGAGTTTCACTGGCCATGAGTTTCAGCAGAGGGATAACAGAGGAAGAGGCTATTTAACACTTTCCCTACCGACATTTGCCCCCACTCAAAACCTTTCCTCCTCCCCACCACACACAATGTTCTTCCTTCTGCAGGGAAAAAGATACTGGATTCCTGTAGAAACAAACAGGATTGAGGGAGGGGAAAGGTAAGAAAACAAAGTCATAAACAGCCCTTCCACTGAAACTTGAAGTCCCTAGATGTGAACTTTTTCAGGAACCAGGGAAAAGTGTTGAGGAAAGAGAATGGTGTTATTAACATGATTTTAGTAGAAAGAGGTAAACAGAGTGAGGCCGCTATAACCTTTCATGGCTGTCTATGAGCTGGAAGGACATCTCTAGTGGCTAAACCATGGTCAGGAACCAGCTGATACAAGCCAGCTAACATTTAAAGAGTTTTGAATAATTTTATTTTAAAAAGATGGGAACATTCTGGATTTCTCCCACTGTGCTATGCTTCGGCACCTGGGGTGTTGTCCTAACCTTTCCCATATTTCCATCTCCATATGAGCCAACCTTTCCCTCCATCCACTCAGCTCTTGCCTCTTCTCCCATTCTTAGTCCTTTTATCCCACAATTCCAGACTGCCCCATTGCAAATGGAAAGATAACAACTGTGGCTGTATTTTGATACATACGGACAAAAATGTGGTATTAGTTAGGAGCATACAGGAAACGTAGAAGTTGCCGTTGTATTCAAATTCAACAGTGGTAAAACCAATTGCTTCTGGGATAGCCAGGACAAATGAAAGAATCCAAATTGTAATGATTTCAATAGCGGTGATCAAGGGGACTCCAATTCCTTGAACACGACTCCAGGAGGCAACTGCCCGGTACCTAAAATAAAACACAGAGGCATTAATTGCAAGCTTCAATACTTTATTAAAAGGTGGAGTTTTAAAGGAAAGCTTAACATAATAGGCGCATTTCATGATTCTTTACAATATGAGAAACTTAAGATGGCAATAAATGAGTGGATTCATGTTTTGTAATCTTGGTATTATCATCATGCAAGTGTGTAGAAGAAAGGGTCTCCATCTAATCATTAGATTTGAATGGTTTTCGCTTAACAGCATTATTTGGGCTCTCATAATAAAAATCAGTGCAGCTTTGAATCAGTGCATCTTGATTCAAAATGGAATCCAATCACACTGAAAAAAACTGCTACTTGATCTCAAGACTATTATGCAATCAATGTTTGGTTACACTATCTTAAGGTGTCCAAATGCATAGTGAATAGACAAACAACTTTCTATAATATACAGACAATTGTGGACATAATCCCACACCGCAGCAAGATAAACAAGAGGACTTAATTCACATAATGTGGGTTAATTTGTTTGTTTGTTTATAGCACAGTTTTCCCAGGAGAGCAATTACAAACATTTTAAAAACAAAACAAAGCAATTTAACAATAAAATTAAGCAATTCGATAAAACGATAGAACAAGAAACCAGCAGCTGCATCAGAATAATAATTAAAAAAAATCAATGCTGTTTGGAAATAGCTCAACGGATGTTTTTCAGTCCTAAGGAATTTTTTTAAAAAAGCTTATGTCTGGGATACAAAAGGCAGAAGTGTAAGTAGATCAGATGAGAGTGTTCTGTAGCTGAGGTGCCACATCTCCCTCAGATGTCTAATTTCAGAAGGTATGGGGGACCCCAAAGAAGCAAAAAGGAGAGACCAGGCAAGCAGGCAGCAATGAAAAGAAGAAAAGGAGGAGCAGAACCATTGGGGCATCCTCACGGGGCAGGGGTCTTGACAGGTGCCCAACAATGCGGGCCTTGGCTAATGGCTTTGCTCCATTCCTTTGCCAAACATCATTATTATTTATTAAATGTATACTCTGCCCTTCATCCAAAGATCATATGGCAAGAGGCTGGAGTTGATCAGCCCATTGGGGTCCAATCAAGGGAGAGACCCATACATGGGACTGGTCTGGGCATTTGAGCCTCTGGTGCATGCTGCCTTCAGGCAGGACATCTTTGACGCTTGGTTTAAGAAATCTAGATATCATGTCATCTTAAAAATGCTTCACTCAATTAAGAGGACCTGATCATTTCCACACTATTACTTTGTCTAGAAGCTATTAAGAAAATTATCACATGCGATTACAACACAGGATGAAAGCTTTAACCTTAAAATAAAACCAAGCAGCCACAGTGCAATCCTGTCTACTCAGAAGTAAGTCCTACTGAATTCAATGGCGCTTTCTCCCAGGTACATGGGATTAGCAATCCAGCCTTCATATCATAAACAGCCATTAGTGCTGTAGCTTTCAAAATCCAGAGTCATTACACTTTTGACTCTCTTCATTCTTGTTCTAGGAGAAATTGTTCATAGAATGAAATTGTAGAACTATTTACCTGTCCACGCTTAGAGCACAGAGGTTAAGGACTGTGATCCCCACTGATGCTTTCTGAAGAAAAGGAAAACAGCTGCAAAGAAACTGCCCAAAAGGAGACATCCCAAAGGGCCACTGACCATGAAGCTAAAGGATGGATAAGAAAAATAATGGGAAATGTTAAACGGCAGTGTAGAAAAAAATGAACATATACCTGAATCTCACCTTGCCTGTCCTCGCAATCAGTTAGCATTCTCCATATCAAAGTGTACGTTTTTCCAAAGTCATCAGGTGATCCCAGATTGTCCCAATGAAAAGGGGGATTCACCTACATTTATTGATTTGAAATGTGCATGTACTTCTTTTCTATTTAACATTAAGAATTCATCATATAAAAAGTGACATTAAAAACAGCTTAAAAACAGTCTAAAATCATGTAAAACTGGGGCGCACACAAGTGTGTGCGACAGAGAATAGTTGAATAATCTAGCTGCTCTGTCTCGCACTCTATTAAGTCTTAGCTACTGAAACCCTGTACCACCAATCAGGTGTTCAGAAGCTGGTAGACAGGGAATGATGGAGGGAGTGCAGCCAGCTAAGGAACACAACCTCACTGATTACTTTCAGTGAGCAAGGAAACAGTTTTAAAGCTGGCCTCCACAATGACAGCTGCAAAGACAGTCAAAGGTCCAGGTTTGATGCTGCCTGTTTCACCACAGACAAACTGAAGGAAATGATCCCCCCCATACACATAAACAGTCATTGAGGGCTCTGCTATTAAAAAAAGGCAGGGGGCTTAAAAAAATTAGAATCTCGCATCAGCACCTTCAATAAAGAAGGGGGGAAGTGGATTCTATTGTATCCTTAGAGATAAGTGTAAACAGTGATCAAAGCTTACAAAATAAAGGAGCTTAAGTTTTATTATTTGGAAAGACAGGAAAAGAAGGAATATTTGCATAAGAGGTCTGGAAAAAAATCTGTTGATGGGGAGGATATGATCAGTTTCTTAATCAAAAGGTGGGAAGAATTGCTCCCAGATGTCAATAGATATGCTTATGCAGGCTAAAAGGATCCAATATCATTAGAAAACGGAGATGGCATGTTACACAGAGCAGTGACAAAGAAGGCAGCACACATCCTCTTTCTCTTGAACTTCCAGTACTTGGGAATGAAGCTCAAACAGTGCACCTTGGCCTCAGTATAACACTCCAATGTGGGGCAACATACATTTGTGGCTAAAATGCTAAAAATCACACACACACACACACACACTGCATTGATTTGCAGAGTGACACACCATGCTGGGAGGCAATCTTAAATTTGACTGTAATCCCACCATAGATAGATCTGCCACAAAGGGGCCCCTGCTGGAACAATATGGGCACCACGACTGGCACAGAGAAATAATTTGAAAGATGCTTGTAGGCTGCAGTTCTAATGAAAAATGGGCCCTCTCAGTCCTGGAATTTTATAATTTTTATAAAATACAGATAGGGTTACTAATCCCACTAGTAAAGAAACATCTGATTTGGCCCTTTTTGACAACAGAGATTACATACATTTCTGTAGTCTGCTTTTCCATTCATTCAGTGATAACATCTGATTTAGTCTGCAAACAGATTTCAGATCCTATGCCTTCAAACTCTGTTGGCTTTCTAGATCCATCCAGATGTCACATTTGAACGGTTGGATGTATCAAAGACATTTTACAGATGATACATTCTGCAGCCTGTGTGGTTACAGTCATCCTAAACCCGGGTATAGAAGACATTGCCCATGTGTACGAGGCAATATATTTATGCCAGGCTCCCAGCTAATTATATGAGTGCACCTTCTGGCTCAACCTGCTTTGTTCACTCACTGAGTGGAACCTTGGGAAGGGAAGCCTTAACTGAGCTCACTGGATAGCTCAGTTGGTTAGAGCGTGGTGCTGATAATGCCAAGGTTGCAGGTTTGATCCCCAGGTGGGACAGCTGCATATTCCAAGATTGCAGGGGTCTGGACTAGGTGATCCTTAGGGTCCCTTCCAACTCTACAATTCTGTGATTCTGTGAATGTGCAGGATTCACAACAGGGCAAGGAGCTCTGTGCTTACAGCTGTACATGTATACACTCTTCTTCTTCCCAAATATTCCTTATGCAGATGGCAGATACAGGGCCAGTTCAGCTGCACACTCTATGTGTATATCAAATGGATGCAGAGTTCTCTTGTGAACAGCTCCTTGGGGCCTGGTCTTTCAAAAGCTTCACAAGGGAGGAAGGTTTACTGTTCAGTACTGTCCAGTCTTACTGTGATTTCAAAGCTATTGTCTTTCAAGGCAAATCTGCAGCGCAATGTCTGACAAGAGTGGAATTCTGTCCACATATTTGTATGCTAAAATCAGAAACTTTTGAAATATTTCAATACTCTGCCGCTGGAATTCAAGAAAACTAACCAGACAGCCACAACTTCCTGAATATCCCCTCCCTCTAATCTTGCGTTTTCCACGTTCAACCCTGTGAAGCCGTAATAAACAAGACAGAACATTCCATTTGGATGATTTCTAAATGTCACCAAGTGGGCTTCAGTTTATTTATAAAATTTTTTGGCACCGTTCTTGCACTGCTGTATAGAAGACGCTTCTGTGGAAGATGCTTTAAACATCTATGCAAGCATGCTGATTAAAAATGGACTGTAAGATCCAGAGGAGGGAAATCAATTTCCAACCATGCTTTGGAAGGTGCATGCTACTTTTGAACATGGTCGGTTAAAGCTTCTGGCTTTGGAACACAGCCACCTTCCAAACTCTGCTGGTTTTAAGATGGTATGGATTTAAGGAACATAGGAGTTCTCTTGCTGGACTGAACCACGTAGTCCTGGATTCAGTTCCCAATAATGGCAATCTCGATTCCCTTGGAATATATCACAAAAAATGTAACGACTATGCCCCGACCCATTCAGGAGGCTTTTATATGAGGTAGTTACTGGCAATGATCCAACATGGGTGATTCGTGTGGAAGGCATAATAACAGTGTACATTTTGAATGCACAAACCAAATCGGCAGTACATGGTGTGGACCAGGGAGCACATTTCTAGCCATGTGGCAATGGAAACAGGCACATTCAACTGGATTTGTATTGTTTCCATGTAACTGTTTTTGGGCTGGGATCCATAGGTCTACTCTACCCCATTGACTAATGATTCTGTCCATGCAACATTACACTTGCGTGCGCGCACACACATGTATTTAGAATGATAGCAAACCCATCCTTCTTCCTGGTATGCTTATCAGCTGGTGTAAAAAAGGTGGACTGTATCTCGTTCTTGGAATCAGTTAAAATATTCCCAAGTGAAAATTCTGGCTGACCAACAATTTGAGAGCTGGAGGAAGTGATCAGAGGAACGTTTCAACAGGAAATGCAAACATCCTAAAAGTGTATATGCAGACTCTGCAGTGCTACTAGCTATGACTGTCTTGGCACAGCTTCTGTCCCCACCTGCATTTTGTAGTAGAGGCTAAGCAATTAACATTCTTGCATTTATCCAATTTCCCATCTCACCCCAGTTGAACAGCACTGTGTAACTATGAAGGGGCCATATAACCCTTGCATGGAAGCAGAGATGCTGATTAATGAATTATACATTCATAGTAGCTCACATACTGGCTGGATTAAAGGAACATGCAAATGTTACATTGAAAGAACAAGCTGATTGATAGCAGCAACCCTGTATACTAATAGTGATGCATGGTGGCTGATGCTTGACCGATAGTGGTCTTCCTATATACTAATAGCAGATTAATCAAGTGCTGATCTTTATGTAGCCAAAACAACATCATCCACATACAACTTCCAAAGAGTGGGTTTCAGTAAGCTTGAAGGACCTCCAAGGTTTGCAAAAGTACAAGCAAGCTTTAGGAGGAAAATACTGTATGGAGGGGGGAATGAAAACACCTCCAAAAACTCCATTGAGGCACAAGAATAGTCAGTGGTTGTAGAATGCTGAGTGTGAAAAAATGGAAAACCATAGAAGTGGGACACAGAATGAAGTATCCTGGAAAAGGGCATGGCTAGCTGAACAAACTTTTGTTTCAAGTTCCACTTGCAGAGCTCTATTCTGTGCCTTATTTCTTTAGAAGATAAATAGGGCCCACAATTTGTTTTCTTAGAATCCTTTTTTTTTAATGTATATATGTACACACATACTAAACTCAACTCAACTCAACTCAACTCCTAGAGAAAATTAAGGCTTGGGCATACATGTGCACTATGTGTATGTACATGCAGACAATCTCTATCTCTCACAACTTCAGAGAAAGTGACAGGGAGTGATCTGTGGGCGATCGCCATGGCTTGTGGTTGAGACCGTGTGGGAGGAAGTCTGGCCCAAACCATTTACAGCTAAATTTTATTCAAAACAAAACCAAAACTTTGTACTAATGCCAGAGCATCCGTCTGTTAGGACTCAATTCATCTTCAAAGAACGCTAAGCAAAAAAAAAAAGGTTTTATAACCAGATCCATTGGACTGAAGAAAGAAACAATTCTGGAATAATGACAGAAAGATTTTAATCCAGTTTTTAGGAAAGGCAAGTCTGTTTTTCCAACATAAAATCTCAACTAAAATGTGAAAGTTCATAGGTTTTTTGCTTTTTAAAAAATGCTTCCACCACCCAAAGAGTCCTACGTTTAAGAGGCAAGAGGACAGTGATAGATCGTATGCTTCTCTTGCTGAAGCTCCTAGATTTAATTCTTCACAACTCCACTTAAAAACAAAAAAGTCTGCTGGGCTAGAAATATTTTTTTAATCTGAATCTTTCAAGAGGTGTTGCTGATGAGAGTAGTCAATACTGGGCTAAATTGGGAAGATATATAAGGCAGCATCATGCATGGGCTGGTTGTTCCTGGCTAATGTGTCAATCTTTCTATTGCTGGACAACTTGCAAAGCAGCTCATAAAATGCATACACCAGCCTCTAAAATTTGAATGCTTTAAGGAGAAAAGGCTCCAAAGCACACTTGCTAGGGAGAAAGTCTCACTGAACACAGTGGGACTTACTTCCAAATAAACATGTATATGATACTGTGGTAAATTAGGGAAACAGGGCAAGTTGCCTGTACCAAGTCAGACCGTTGGTTCGTCAAGCTCAATATGGCACTGAGTAGCAGGGCTGCTCCAGGAATTCAGGCAGGGGCTTTCAAAGTCCTACTTGGAAAGCCAAGAATTGAACCTGTGCCTCTTCTGCGTGCATCTTTCTTCACAGGGGAGTTGCTCCATCAGTTTGGTTGCCCTTTTCTGAACTTTTTTCCAACTCTACAATAGCATTGTATAATTGCATTATTATATTGGCAGTTTTATTTTCAGTTCCCTCATCCCTGCACGCCACATGGGACATTTAGAGCAAGGGTGTGAAGGGCTCCTTTTTCTATGGGCAGGAACATGGGAAGGAGAGAAGTGAAACACACATACACCCCGCTTTACTTTATTGCACTCTGCTGCTTTCAGCAGCTTTCTCTCAGCCCATCTCTGATAACTGGACATAAGCCAGGCAGGGAGGAAATTGCTTAAAGCAATGGAGTGCAGTGAGATAAGGCAAGGAAAGTGTGTGTGTGTGTGTGTGTGTGTGTGTTTTGTTCTCTTAAAGATTGCCACCCTCTCACTCATATGTGAATGGATCTGACACATGCAAAAAACACATGTGACTTCCCCCATCACATCTATTTTGGTCCCACAGGCTGGTTCACACAAGCATGCTGACCACACTGTCGAGGGACAACTGGCATGTTTGAACGTGGCATCACACATAACCCAAGCGCACACTGTTTTTCGGTGGAGTCAGTTCACACATTCAATTATCTACTTGTCAGTATGTGTGTATGAGCAGGGCCCTGAGGCTACTACCTCTGATGTTCTGCATATGGGGCAAAAGAAACTTAAACAATGGTATACAGTGCCATAACTGTAACATGCCTTTAAAGGAGTTCAAGATGTCACACTCATAACGAGGTTAAAAAAGCCCGGAGATTGATTATTGCCAGGCATCTGCACACCATGTATAGAAACTGTAGTTTCATTACAACTAAAAGCTCACCAAGAACAGACGCCATATTACACACAGATATAACCATCATTTTGCGATACTAGGAAGGGTGGTAGGAAAACCATTAGGTTCATGAACTTCAGTGAAGTCTAAAAGGAGTGGGGAAAGTGGTTTATTCGGGTTTATTATTCTGTCACATAATCCAAAGTGACTAAGACTGATCCCAGCACTCCCTACAGTTTTAAACTTGAGTCATGGCCAACACCACATCATAAATCAGAACTCCAACACATTCATTCTGACAGTCTGGAAGTGTTACTTTGTCTTGTAGAGAATATTCTCATCATGCATAGCTATAGTTTACTTGGCCAAGTCTCTGAAAAAGATACCATGAAATGAATCTCCCAGTGGTGGTGGTGGTATTATTATTATTATTATTATTATTATTATTATTATTATTTCTAAACCACTCTTCATTTATTGTTGTTGTTTTGACCATCATGGTCTTTTCAACCTCAGTGGCACACTATATAGTCTCCCTTATCCGCAGAAATACAATTGATTCCCATCTTGAAAATTTGGCCCAGTATAGCTAAATCTTTTCCTTATCCCAGTTTTTACATTGCTTTTATACTCTTTACACAAGTTTGCTGTTTTTCCCCCTGTGTTATGATAAAGGTACAGTCACTATGTTCTCCTTTAGTGTGGATCTCATAGTAGCCTAGCATAGAAAACAGAGCATGTTTGCTCTCCACATAGATGTGATGTTTCTTAAATAGGCACCATGCAGAAATTTTATTTATTTGTTGGTGGCATTTCTTCCCCGGTTTTCACCATAAAAGATCAAGGAGGCAGCTTACAAAAATTAACTATACTAAATACAATTCAGATCAAAAAGATAAAAAAGCAAATAAAAACATAAAAATAGCAGATAAAATGAGGAAGTAAAGAGCCATTAAACACTCAGGAGAGCAGGAGAGAATTCACAAAGAGCCTAAATGCTAGCAGAGATGGCAAGGGAAGTGTGAGGGCAAATAGCATAAGGTCCCAGATACTGGCTAAAACATCTCTAGATATTTTAACATCTCTAGTTAAAAGGGTCAGGGAACATCTGATGCGGAAGACCTCCACCTCAAATTCTGTAGAGCAGAAGCAGCTAGCCTCCAGTTTGGCAGCCATTTTGTTCTGGCCCAGGACTTTTTTTCAGCCAGAACTCGCTAGAACTCAGTCCGGCACCTCTCAGGTGAGTTCCAGCACTTCTCAGGTGGGCGCCCTTGCCATTCTAATAGAAAGAGGGAGGTGTTTATGGTGAGCTCTGGCTCCTCTTTTTCTAGAAAAATAGCACTGTTCTGGCCCAAAGACCAGCTTTGACAGTGACAGCAAAGAGGAAAACAAAATTAAAGCTGGGCAATAACCCTCTTCAGCTACTCTGGGAAGATCAGCTGAATAGAGGGATTGTGTGCCTTGTGTGAGAGAAAGAGAGTAGGATGGCCTCCCTTAGCTAGTCCATCACTGGTTTTAAGCACTGGTTTGTGATGTCCACAACTGCATCTGGATCTGGTAAGATAGAGCTGAATGTCATCCACATAATGACAGCACTCAACTTCAACACTACAGATGCCATCTCACAAAGGTTTTTAAATAGCACAAGGGAGAAATACAACAGCCAGTGAATACTGTGACACAAATGGCATGACAATAGCAGCCCCTCAGCAACACCTTCTAGAATCTGATTGCCAAGTTGGGGCAGGGGGAATAGGCTGACCATTAAACAATGCCTCCATCCCCTATTGTGTACAGATGATCAACCACAGAGATGCAGGAGAAACATGCTTCCACTGTCTAGCTCCATAGTTTTGGGTAATTTATATTATCTATGAATGCCTGGAGCTTAGCTGTCGATGCTCACCTGTCCTCCCCAAGCCATTACAGTTAATGGATCACAACAACAACAAGAACATATTTATACGCTGCGAGGAGTGAGGGGCATCATCTGTCTGCCCCCCTCTTCCTTCACATCAGTGTTTCAGCTGCCCTCCACAAGTCAGCTTCTGCATACTGTAAAATGAGTTCACAAACTGTAAACATTGTGGTGTTTTACCTTATATATGTTGATAGGGATATCAATGATGATATAGATTAGGTCTCCCAGGGCCAGGCTAGCTATCAGCGCATTGGGGCCATTCCTCATACACTTGTTCTGGTAGATAATCCGCAGCAGGGTTGCATTGCCAACAAGCCCAATGATGAACACTGCACAGGATATTGCTGTATTGATGTATTTGAAAGTGTCCATAATTTTAGGACGTTGTGAACAATAGATATAGGTGCGGTTGGGTTTATGGGTAGGGAAGAACAGCTTGGATTCTGTTTCAGAGGAAGTTGTGACAGGGTTAGTCAGGTTTGACTGGTAGATGTCAGAACCATCAATGATGACAAATCCAGTTATGAGAAGCACCAAGACCATCTCAAAATGAAACGCTTCCATCTTCAAATCTTCTGTATTGGGAAATCTTCTGTATTTCAATAGTAGCTGATGGACTTATTTCACCTACAATAAAAAAGAAGCCAATATTTATGTTGCAATATTGGCAAACTGAAACATTTATTTGTATATTTTCATAGAATTGCAGAGCTGGAAGGAACCACAAGCGTCGTCTAGTCCAACCCTCTGCAATTTAGGAATCTTTTGCCCAATATGGGGCTTGAAACCCACAACCCTGAGATTAAGAGCCTTATGAACTTTTAATTCTAGACAGAAATCCAAATTAAACTTTTAAATTCATTCATTCATTTGCAAACTTATATCCAGCCATTCTATAAAACTATAAGCAAAGTAGCAAAGAAGGAGAAAGGGCAACAAATGTACAATAAAATACAGTCACGTAAAATAGTATTGAAAGGTATTAAAAAATAAAAAGCAGAAGCATACAGATCTATCTTAATCGTACCACCTTTGGATCCAGCTCAATACATTCAGGACTGGGGGGGTTCTTTATTATTTAAATAATTGATTTTAAACAAATGTTTGTGAAGGTAAATTCCGTTCCTTTAAAATCAGTCTGTTTATTTACACAACTTCCATTTGCTTTTGCTAAACCCGCCCCATCTTTCCCTAAGCATATTTCTTTGGAAATAAATTGCTTTGATATCAGTAAGGAAAATCCAAACATGTATGATTAGAGATTTTTAGAGAACTTACAGCTATAAAATTAATAGAGTACATACTGGATGCTGAAAAATGTTTGGTCGTTGGAACATAAGCAAGACTACTTTCCTTAAAATTTAAAATTACTACTACTACTTTTTTATTGTTATTATCAGAAATACCCAAGTCTCTTTTCCACAGGGTCAACAATCACCAAAGCAATAAAGCTACTGCAAGCCATAAAGGCTGCTGCAAAGTCCTGATCAGAGGCACGTAAACCAAGTAATTCCCATTCTATGCGTCATGATGCCTCATCTGGGGGAAGTAGTGACAGGACTCTCCAGCCTCTGGGAATTTAGGCTTCTAGGAACGACTTTGTTTGTTAACAGAACCCCAAGCTCTACCAGTTGGAGAATGGTGCAATTGATATAGTCTTCAAATTGAAGACTTTGGAGCCCAGGATTTCCCCCCTGCCCCTGAGAACCAGAACTGAACTGAACTCACAGTCCTCCAACACAAAAAACCCACTCCTGTTTTTACCCCCCCCCCGCCACTTTCTTCATTTTCTCTGTACAGTACTGCTGTTCTGTTAATGTTATTATTGATGGGCATTGTGGTTTTAATTTTATGACTTTAATGGATTTTTATTATTACTCTGATACCTCTTAGCCCATCCTGAGACTATATGATGAAGGAAGGGAGTATGAGTATGAATAACAACAGCAGTGGCAACATATTCAGCGGGGTGGTGGTGGCAATTTCTTGCTGCCATTGTTAAAAAACTGGGAATCAAAATCTTTGCTAGTCTACTTCAAATCTCGCTGCCACCGCCACCAGTGCGTACGATCTACCAGTAGAACTAGAACTGCCTCTGTAACTAACGCAGAATATAATATGGAGGGGAGAAGCTCAGTGTACAATCCAACCAGGTCACCCACATTTACTTGAAATTGAGTCCCACTGAATTTAGCAGGGCTTACTAACATGTAAACATGCATAGGTTCACTCTCCACATTGCCTTCATTTCAATAGTCTTTTAATTACCTTTTTAAAAAAAATATTAAGAAGCTGGGGGACATTAAGTGCTAAATTTTGGCTAGACTGTGGCTCAGAACTACACTTTGCACTAATTGTGTTTTTCTTTCACAAACAGCCAGTGTAGGACCCCAATCCAGACCAGGGTCATAGCTGAAATTGCTGGAAATGGCGAGGAGGCAGATTTCATCTCAACATGGAGATAAACTTCCTAATTGTTTAACAGCTGTTTGGCAATGGAAAAGGCTGCCTTGGGAGGTGATGATCTCTCATTCACTTGATGGATATACCGGTAAGTAGAGTCTGGATAGCCGCTTCTCAGAGATTGTGTGGTTGCATTCTGCACTGCATATTCACACAGAGCAGGTGGCGGGACTGGATACTTCCAAGGCCCCTTTCAATTATGCGATTTTATGAAAGTTTTAGGATTTCAGCTAGCTCAAGGTGAAACTACATCTATTGACTCATTTTTTTAAAAAAAAAAAGACTCCCCCAAATTTACAGTTAGGCAATACTTTTATTGGGACCAACTGGAACGTCCCAAAAGTCGGGCAAGTTTTCACGTTCTGCAGAACTCTTCACCAGGCAGACTGTACACAAAGCAGGCAGTGAGGAGGAGGACAGGTACAGTGGTAGCTCGGGTTACATACACTTCAGGTTACATACACTTCAGGTTACAGACTCCGCTAGCCCAGAAATATTACCTCACGTTAAGAACTTTGCTTCAGGATAAGAACAGAAATTGGGCTCCGGCGGTGCAGCAGCAGCAGGAGGCCCCATTAGCTAAAGTGGTGCTTTAGGTTAAGAACAGTTTCAGGTTAAGTACGGACCTCCGGAACAAATTAAGTACTTAACCTGAGGTACCACTGTACCTGTAAGCTGAATGAAACTCACTTCTAAGTAAAAATGGATAGCACTACAGGTCTGGGTACATTATGGCAAAGGGCACTTCAGATTGTTGCTATTTTGAGGGTGAGATTCAATCACATATCAGCAAATGCAGGTTGTGCGATTAAACTGGATTTGGTGCTCTCGAACAACAAACTTGATTCCTTAATCTTCTTTTTAAAAACTTTTGCAATAAGGAAAGTGATAGGAAAATGCACTGAAACGTGTAAGATAACAATAACACCAACTTCCTTGCAAACATATTAGAATGAAAGCTCAACAAGTAGCTGACGTTATATAACCCCCTTGTAAGCTTCCTGCAAATCAGAAACAAACCCTATTAACAGAATTCAGTATTACTATTATTATTATATCACAGCCTTACTTTTGACATGACTAACAATGACATCAGTGATACAACCAAGCCTAAACACATCCAACATGGGTCACTGAGTTCAAAGGAACGGAAGTTTCTGCCACAGTATGTGCCCTGAATGGAATACACAGACACACACGAGAATTTATGATCTACTCGTGCTAAACTTGGATTTACTTGGAAGGATTTACGTGGAGATTCTTCCAAGCGATGCCGTTGTCCGCCGATAGCAGACGGGACACGGGATCGCACACCTGCAGTTGAGAAAGCAGCAGGGAGCACAGGGCTTGAGGTCCCTTCGGCCCCTCCCCCCCAAATAATTGAGGGAACTGGATGCCCTCCAAAAAAAGTTGGTGAGCACTGGCATTCAAATAGTGTGATCATGTGATCGATTATGCGGAGCGGGGCTTACCTGCCCCCCCCCCAATATTTTATTCAAGTTGGCACCCCTGGCAGGGAGCGATGTTTAAAAGGGAAAAGCAGCAGGAGGGAGAAGGGTTCAGCAGAAGAAGCAGCCCCCTCCCCTTTTCCGTGTCTGTTCCTCCAGCAAAACAGCAGCTTCCCTCGAGCTGTTGCTTTTCATTTCACCGTCGGCGGGAGAGAATAGTCGCGCGTCCCTCGAGGCGTCCAGTTTGGCCGGTTCCCTGCCTTATTTCGGGCAAAGACCCCGCACTTGCTTGTGTAGGGGAGCTTTCCCCTACAAATAGAGAAAGAGAGAGGGCGCGCACACGAGAAAGGAGGGAGCGGAATAGACGAGCACCGCTTGCTTCCTACCCCCAAGAACCAGAGGCCAACTCTCATCCCTCCTCCCCGTCCCCAGACGCCGGGTTTTCCAGACTCCCTTCTTCCCTCGCAGAGAGAGACAACAAAAAAGTACAGTATCCCCGACGATCAGCCACGCGGCGTCGGTGCACCCACCGTTTTGTCCCGCGGAATCTGCGCGCCCGCGACGTCTGGCGTGGCTCCCGCCCGGGAGAAGAAGGACGAGGCGAGGAACACGCCGCCGCCGCGAGTCCAGCGGGGCGCATGGGAAGCTCTTTGTAAGAGGCGCGCAGCGAAAGTTGGAAGGAAGCTGCTCCCTGGCTGCTTTCCCTCTCTGAAATCCCTTTCCTAGCGAAGGCTTCCTAAATCCTCCAGGCTCCGGCTGGTTGGGTGGGATTCCGACTCTCCACCTCCGGGCAGAGGGAAGTCGGATCAGCCCCCTCCTTTACCCAACCCCCCCGTTTCCGAGGAGGGGGAACGACTCTCTCTCTCTCGACCCCAAAGCCAGACGCTTGCAATGTTCAGAAGAAGAGCATGCAACCTCAAAGACAGCCTCCTCCGCCCCCAGCAAAAAGAAAAGGGAAAAAAAAATGAGTGGGGGGAACGCTAAGGGTGGTGTTTTTTTTAAGCAGTTCCTCCCTGGACAGGAGGAGGGGCTGGGGCCGCTTCTCTTGAGAAACCAGGATGAGGCATCCCACCACTTTAGGGATCTGCCCATGAGGAAAGCTTGGGAGCTGTGAATGCTCCCAAGGGTGGGCTTCACTGAAACAAAAGTGGGCTGCAAATGCCTAAAAATAAAAAGCAAGGAGTGGATCCTGAGTGGGAAAGGGATAGGTACCAGGAAATAGAGGGGAATGGTTCCCTCCAACTGACTTTTTATAAATACAAGTGTTCATAGTTGTACTTCTTTAGTTATGCTTCAGGGTCTGTGGGGCTCCCTGCCACAGCAGTTCTGCAATGTGACCTTCCTTTGCAGCCCCCCATTCCCCAAGAATGCTTTTAAAGCCCAGTACTGTAGCTCTCAGTAATAAGACTTAGGTATTAGATTGACACCCACACCAGAGAGTCGGCATGAACTATTAACAAAGACTGTTCATTAAAGGTTATGTTTTGTTGATTAAGGGATCACTGAAATTTACTTTGGGGTCCAACATGTGCTTGACAAACCCTTTGTAAGGACTCAAGAGCCTCTGACACCAACCACTAAGTGGTTTTTACCTCAGGCCAAATTCCTTAAACTGCCACCCCGACCAAATTTATTCGCGCTACAACGTGGTCCAGCTACTCGGTAGAATCTGCCTTTGATGCCAAAGCTCTCCCAGTTGTATTAAGATGATTTTAAAAACTTGCTCATGTAACCTTGCTGTAAGACTTTTACATAGGGCAGCCTCCTAGCTGAACACAGTCGCCGACTTCCTTCTTCTGACCTTCATCAGGAATTAAAGTTGTCACACCAAGGATCAGGGGTACCAACTTGAATAAAATAATGGGAGGGGGCAGGTAAGCCCTGCACTACGTACAGTGGTACCTCGGGTTACATACTCTTCAGGTTATATACGCTTCAAGTTACAGACTCCGCTAACCCAGAAATAGTGCTTCAGGTTAAGAACTTTGCTTCAGGTTGAGAACAGAAATCGTGCTCCGGCGGCGTGGCAGCAGCGGGAGGCCCCATTAGCTAAAGTGGTGCTTCAGGTTAAGAACAGTTTCAGGTTAAGTACAGACCTCCGGAACGAATTAAGTACTTAACCCGAGCTACCGCTGTAATTGATCACATGACACAGTGCAAGTACTGAATGACAATGCTCATCAACCGGGTGGGGGTTCCCTCCAGTATTTTATGGGGGGGGTGGCGAAGCCCCTAGTTGGCTCCTATGACAAGGACAACTGTATCACCGGTTTTCCCAAGTGACATTATTCTAACACAGTTGACTGCCCACTGACTGGACTCTCCAGCCAATCAGAATCCGTTGTTTCCCGTACTAGCCAACATGAATTTACCTGATCCAGGCCCTGCCTATTAATACAAAAAGCAATACTGTGATCTAAAAGAGATAAACCACATTAACAGGGACAACAAGTGATGGGGAATAGCAATACAAGACCTTGAGAAACTGGAATGATGACCCTGGAAGTAGAATGATGTTTTGTTTGCATGTTTTTGGTGCCTGAGTTCAGCCTTCATAAGAATGATCCTGCAGAATCTTCTGCATCCATTTTCTAATCTGAAGAACTCTCAGAAACATTTTCACTAAAATGAGTTGGGAGAGGAATGGCACCCTCCACCACCACCTCTGTTGATTGTTCACTTCTTTCAACTTCTTACATTGTCAGGCATAATAATGGCAGATGGCACTCAGTCAGCAACCTCAGTGTTTTTAGGAAATGTCCAGAGGCCATTTGTTCTCTGAGGCAGTACTGAGGATGCGTATGCACTAGATCAGGCACTCCCAAACTTGGCCCTCCAGATGTTTTGGGACTACAATTCCCAGCATCCCTGACCACTGGTCCTGTTAGCTAGAGATGATGGGAGTTGTAGTCCCAAAACATCTGGAGGGCCGAGTCTGGGGGTGCCTGCACTAGATGCTCCATAAATAAGAATGGGTATATGTTCTTTGAAGGACTTGGTTTATACATCACATTGTACTTCCTTAAAGAGAAATGGGGAGAGGGGGGACATTTCAAGTTTCTCATAAACCGCTTCCTTAATCCATCTCTAAATGAAAATAAATCTTCAGTAGGTCATACATAACATGGAAAGTTAACGACCCTGTTTCTGTTGGTTGGGGTTGCAGTGTAAATTACATTACAAACCTGCTGAAGGATAGATGTATTCTAATATTTTTCTCATGATAAAATTTGAGCTGTCCTTCTTTCTTCCAAGGGATAGATTTTTCTGGAGCCATTAATGAAACTATCATCTTGGAACTTCTACAGAGTGCAAATAATAAATGTGGAATTAGGAAAGCAAGGGAAAGTGTACTGCCTCTCTGCATAAGGCCTGTCTGTGGTGCCTGAAATATATGTTGTCTTTTTGTCCACGTGGAATGCTCAGAGATGAGTAATGTGGTTTAGTTCAAAAACAAAACGCGACTTTTTTCCAAGCTATGAATTGGAATTTTCCAACAATTTAGTGACATATGTTAATTCTGAGCTGTTAAAATGTGACCAAACATGTCACCCATTAAGAACCATGTAAACAACACAATATTTGTGAGTGATTGATGTTAATAGTTTTCACACACAATAAATGCCTTTTGAAATTCTATTTATTTATTCAAAATATTTATAGGCTGGTTTTCCAAGGCTTCCCATGGGCATCCGCTTGGCCATTATGAGAACTGGATGCTAGACTGGATCACTGGCTTGATCTTGCACAGCTAATTGTATGGTCTTAAAACACTGTTTCACAGCAACAAAAGGACAGTTGTGATTAAATCTAAAGTGAGGATAGTAGTGGATGGAATGGCTTGTTAAGCAATTTTCCACATTAGCACTGTCCTTCAACTGGTTAAAACAGGCAGCCTGAAATAAAGAAATAAAAAAGGTATTGTAAAACATTTTCCATGGTTTGTGCCTGATTTCTTTTTTTAAAAAAGGATATTATAAAACATTTTCATAGTTTGTGCTGTGTCAGAGAAGAAGTGAGTCACGAACCACACAAAAGTCATTTTGCAATTGCCTTATGAATTTAATTGGGGCTTTAATCGAATTGCCTAGAAGCATGTGGCCTGTGGATTGCAGCAGGAGAGAAAGGAAAGAGGGGGCTATATTTTAGCTTTCACTTTAACTGATGCAAGGGGGCAGCAAACAGAAGCTTGGGCAAAATACATCACAGAATTTCACATCTGCCAAGTGATGGTACTAGTCTGATTACCACTAAGATGGACCAGCAGTTGCCATATCTGGCTTCAGCTCCAACCATCTGTTGCTGACATGGTGCTATAAGTGCTGCTGATGCTTTTTAACTGCTGTCATTTTTGCTGCTGGTTGTGCTGAAGCTCCACATATATTTTCCTTAAACTGCTCATTCACCTGAAGGCCCCAGGATATGGTCTAAAGAAGGGATGGGGAACCTGTGCCCCTTCACATGTTGTTAGACCAGAACTGCCATCAACCACAGCCACCATGGCTAATGGCCAGGGATGATGGGAGTTGTGGTCTAACAGCATCTGGAGGGCCACAGGTTCCCTGCCTCTGACCCTAATGGTTTGTTGAAACTTGGAAGCGTGCCTTCACTATCTATGAGACAGGAAGATAAAATTTGCTTCAATTAATAACATCTTAATTCCTTTGTGTTAAAGAGTTGGTGGGGTGGGGGAGCAACCATCTGGGCAGAAGACGCTGTTATTTTTATTGCTTCCTCTACATATTTTTTTCTCCCACTCAGTTTTTGTTGGCAGATCACGGTTTATATTCTGGCATGGGTTTTAAAGTGAATTCCATGTGGTATACACTTTTTATTTTCAGCGATCAAAGACTGGAGTGTAGAAATCTGATGCTGATTCTTGTTACCGCTCATTTCCATGTAGCCAGTTGTTAAGGTAACCCACACAAGTACTTAAATTACTTATATCTTAAAGTCTCTTCTTTGTCTTATGGGCTAACATAAGACAATCTATGGTCCATCTAGCTCAATATTGTTTACACTGACTGGTAGCAGCTCTTCAGGTTGAACTGTCCCATCCCTACCTGCAAGAGGCTAGTTACAAATCTCTCTTTTGGACATGCATATGTGGTCATTAGGGAAGAAAGGACCTGTCCATTTTGGTTCTCTCGGTTTCTTATTTTCGCAAACTTAAATTCAGTTCTCCCCATTTTACAGCAATTTACAATTTATAACTCAAATTTATCTTAATGTGCACATTTTTTAATATGGGGTTTTGAGCAATGTGTGCATTGTTGCAAGCAATTTCCCCTTAGAATGCGTTTTGGTATGTTATTTTCGCTAATATCTTCATTTTTATGCACACTTTCCCCTAATATGTGCATTTTGCAAACAAATTTGGTTGGGGAACTACATTGCAAAAATTCAGATAAGCTGCAATAGTTGAAGGACAGCTGGAGTTTTAGTTCACCTATTGTTTCAGAAAGTGGGGGTTTGATAGATTCAAATAAAACAGAAGAAAACTAAAATCAAAGCTGCTTATGTGTGTCTGCCACTTTGCAGAGGAGTCCCCTTTCAGCACACACAGGGGGAAGCAACTCCCCCCCCCCACTTCCAAATACATTCTGAAATCCAAGTCCTATGGAACCCATCATATGGGTTTACAAGGGTTGCTTTCCTCCTGTTGTCCCATACACACACAAGGCAAATAATCTCATCTAGCCATGAGTTAGTAACATTGAACCAATCAACCATTATCTCTCAGCCTATCATATCCTACAGGGCTGTGGGCAGGAAGAAGAGGATCGTCCTTAGAGGAAGTACAGTATGAACAAAACCAAATATTAACAGAAGATGCCAACCCCTGATTTCTACAAAACAAAAAGTAATTTTAACCAACCACATTTTTAAATGAAAAGTGGGGAACGGGAATAATCTATTTCTCTTGGTTACTTAAAACAACAACAACAAAGAAACCCTGGGGGAAATGAATTATAAAAGTGTAAGAAACATTTTGTATCACAGGCCCCTCTCTCCTCGATGTTGTCTTGATGGGTTTTCCTCTTCTTCTCCTCCCCCTCATCATAAGGATTTTCATCTTTCATGACCAGGGTTGGCATGCTTCGCAGCACATTGCCCAAAATATAGATATACTGAATTGACATCAAATATTTATAACATTGGGAAAATAAGCTTTGTTTTCTCAGAAATGCAAAAATGACCACACACACACACACCAGCAGCTTACGATTGCTATTATTAGGATATGTTCTACAACTGGCTCCTGGCATGAACTGATGGAAAAAGTAAAAACCTCTTTATTCAATAGTGAGCTGGTTGTCTTGAGAAAAAACAAACATTTGAAGAGCAGAAAAGGTCTTTTCCAGACCAATTATTCCAATGTGGTTTTTTAAAGATGCATAAAAAGAGCCTTCCTGTACCAGACCAAAGACCTGCAGCAGCCTGTTCTCACACTGTGAACCAGATGCCAAAGGGCAGAGGCAAGCAGGACCTGAATG